ATTAAACACTTTTTGCCTCATTTACATTAAAATATTAATCAATACCGTGATTCTCAAGGGTCAAGGCATGCTAGAATTATAAATAGTAGGATCCACGTAGGGCTTGTAGTGCTGTGGATGCATCCAGGGGACCTTACACAACAATCACTTTTTTCCCCTCGCAAAACCATGCTGTGCTGAAAACCCTGCCTTGCAAAAGTTTTAACTAGTCAACTAACAAGCAGTAGAACATATTTAATCCTCAGGAAAGTTTATTCTAACAAATATTGTGTTTATACCAAAAGAGCGGCTAATTATAGTCAAGAAGCACCTCTTAGTTGGCCTCTAACACACAGCTTTGCTTTTGTCACATTTATGGTCCCCTTCCAACCCTAACTCTGCTTTTGTTGCATCTYCCCTCAGATTATCTTTTTGGGACAATTTCTACTGATCTGGATGACAAAGAGCTTAAATCTAATTATGACCTAAGTGCACTAGAGTGGTTAGTACGACGTGAACATTGTTATCCTTGGCTCCTGTAGCTGTCCTATATATTTGCAACTCCTTTGTTTTAGATATAACCTATATATGTATGTCATCTGTTTTGTTCTACCTATGAGCAAACGACAGAGGAAACAAACAGATTAGCTTTGCTTAGCCAAACCATGAGACAGGTAATATTAAAAGCAARCTCTACCCTGCAATACAATGAATTGTATGGCTCTGGCATTGCACATAGGAAAAAAAAAAATCCATTCTCTGATGTTTAAACATCAGGTAAAACCTAGAAGGCACTGTCATAACTACAGCAGTCTGGAGAGAAATAAACGAGATTTAAATACATGTTGCTATTAGGAATGTGAAACCAAATATAACTAGAAGATAAGTATCAACATATTAAAAAAAGAAAGAAAAAACATATTTTGTATCAGTAAGTGTAAAAAATGCATAGGAGGGTTAAAGACTTTTTGGTTGAACGAGAAAAAAAAGGAAATGAAAAGGGGAATTTTCTGCAAGCAAAAGAAATCTTAGCCAGCACAAAGGCCTCCTACTAAAAAGGGGCTGCTGTCTCCACTAATAGTGAAGAAAGGGCAGATGGATTCAATAAATATCTTGGTATTTGGAAAGAAGCAAGATTGTTTGTGCCTCATGAGAATGAAATGCTTTTTCAGTCCATTAATAAACAAATGTTTGAAGACAATCCRTTTTAAAGCATTGTTACTTTGTGATGCACATTTTTAAGTCAGCAGGACCAAGCAAGATGACCACAGAGGAGAATTCTCCAAGAAGTAACTACGGAGATCTCAATTCCATTGACACAAATTTCTACTATTTCTGAAAATATCATGGAAACTTCAAAAGTCTGAAAGGATGCCAATGTCATAGCCATACTCAAAAAAAAGAAAAAAAAAAAAAAAAACCACACACACACACTAGTGAGAGCTTCAGAATCCAGGCAGCTTGGAATGACATCAGTCCCCGACAGAATAATAGCAAAGCTGATACAAGATTCAATCAATACATTAAAGATACATATGAAATACAGACATATATAGACTTCTATGGCATTAAGACACTGATTACAAAATAGTATTAATTAAGCAAATTAAGARCAGGCATCTCAAAACAAAACAAAAAAAGCAGCTGACAAGACATCATGACATACTGAATATTCATGTGGAGCTCCCCAAAGGTGGAGCCACTGCTATGAAACAGGCTTCTTCTATTACCTATAGGTGTATRTACAGCTCGTTAAGACAGGCATAGACTAGCAAAATGTTATATACCCTAGGATCTTAGCTRAATCAGTTAAACAAATAAAAACTGTCAAGACCTTTTCTGGTAAATTCATCCTGTGACAGAAACAGAAATCTGTGATTCTGTGAAAGTGACTCTCAAGAAAAGCCACACACAAAGTTATAAGCTACAAACAAGAAATGCACACTAGTCTCCAGAAAAACTAACTCCTATGAAAAGGAACAGGACTCAAAAGATTTGATCACTGAAAATGAGATCAAGACATGCGACGATAGTGAAAGGGTTAATATTCATTCTGATGTGATATATAAACAGAAGAGCTGCATTAGAGAAGTGATCTTTTTAAACTCACAACACACTGCTGAGATAAGATACTGGAAAACTGCATCCAGTTCACATTTCTGCGAAAATGTTGAAAATATGGAAGTGATTTGAGGGAGAAAAAAAAAAAAAAAGACACAAAAATTAAGTTGCGAAGAAAATGCCTGTAGTGAAAATAACTATTATCTGGAAACTGAGGCCACATAACTTTATAAGCAGTAGAATCTCCCCCTCTTACTATATTCAAATAAAAATTCCATTTTTTTTCCTGGAAAATATGTTTCAGCCAAATATGAGTTCTTGCATTCAAAAGTAACTGGATAAAATCCAATAAACTATAATGGTGAGGAACTCACAGCAGAAGATCTAATTKCTTCATTTGGCTTTAAAGTCTGAGTTTGGGTTTTCAAAGGCATTTCAACAGTATCGTACACATTCAATATTAATACAAAAAGAGAGCTTTCAAAAATATGCATAAATTATGGTGGCATTTCCATATAAGGGCTCCAGCAACACTGGCAAACCTCTGGAGCTTTCCCATGGAGGCTTCCATCACCAACAAAACCCACCAGCGTGAGTAGAGATACGTTGCAATTGTAGGGGGATTCTTTCTGCAGCAGCCCCTAAACAATGATTTTACAACAGACTGTAAAAGTTCATCCTTCAGGTCAGCACTTTTACTCTACTAGAAATAATTCTGTTTACACTGGAACATAAAAAATACTGTTACAACGCACAGCAGTAATCATAAAAATTACACATAAGAAAAAAGAAAACCAGAAGCCCTTTAAYGACCACAAAGCCTGTGAGATCTGTTGTTCTCATTACTAACAGCATTTAAGCCTGCTCCTATTTACATTATGTATCTACCCTCCGCTCCAAATCACGCAGTATATCCTGCAATCTTGACAAGTGAGGAGACTCCACRTTTCGTAGGGAGCACACGCCAACCCAGCGCATAACGTGCAGGTTTTTGCCCTCCTCAGCCCGAAGGAGTTTGGCCACACGATGGGCTGCTGCATTACCTATAGGCACCTAAAGCAGCCAAGGTTCTGAAACACATTTCTCCCGGCAGAGTAGAAATAAACTTCTCCTCGCTCAGTAAGCTTAAGGAGGATGAAATTGCCTGAAATGTACCAGCTACTGAATAAAGGTTACTACACAGCGGATAAATAGAGGGAAAGAAAGAAAGGAAAAAAGGAATATCTGAAGGAGAAAACAGGCAGCACGACCTCGAGATGCCTCGAGAAGCAGGTGCACGCGACCTATTACTGCAGTAAAAGTTACTTCCAAGCGCCGCTGTGGCCGGGCAGCTCCCGGCGCGTCCCCACGGCTGCGCTCCCCAACGCGGCAACCCCCAACGGGCGAAGCCGTGGACCTGGACCATGGTCCAGGTTGGTCAAGCTCTGGGAGAACCTCCCCACGGACGCGACGCGGCTGGTTTTGGACTCCGCAAACTTGGAGCCGTTGCCACCAGAGCGGGTCCTTTGACACCGGCTCGGACCTGTGGGGCTGGACGCCGATGCCAGCTCCAAAACCACCCGAGTGGGTGGCCGGGAGCGACTCAGATACTGGGAGAGGCCTAAAGGGATGAAAGAAGCTGCTTTCGTGGGGATGAGAGGAGGACACCAYGACCACCCCCTTTCCGTGGGCTTCCCGAGCCCCTGCCCTGTGGGGACACGCAGCAGATGGATAGAGAGCAAGAAAGGGAACTCCGGCGCCTGAAGAAAAGGGGGATTTAGAAGAAATAAAGAATAAAGAGCCAAGAAAACAACGGTGGAGCCACCTCGAAGCCACGCCAGGTAAATAAAGGCGTGAGCAGGGCGACATCCCCTCCGATGCTGCCTCTGCTTTACCCAAAATACAACGATTCCCTCTTCCTCCTTCCCATCGCCCGCAYGCCACGGAACGACCGTTAATTCAAAACACGGAGCGACCGTTAATTCAAAACCGGGGTTTAAATGGAGGGGGGGAGGGGGGAGAGGATTATCCCCGCGACCGGCTCTGCCGCTGGACGGGAATTAAAAAATGCGGTTTAAAAAAAGAAAAAGGGGATAAAATAAAGAAAGGGAAGGGCAGAAGCGGATGGTTATTCCGGGCGCTGGGTGGGTGGGAAACGTGGGCAGGGGGAGCCGGGGGGATGGGGCGGAGTGGGGAAAGGTGCCTGAGGAGAGAAGAAAGGGAAGGAGGACCAGGAAGCGCGAGGAAGGATGAGGGGAAGGGGGAGGAGGATGAGGGGGATGAAAGGAAGGAGCTCGCCGAGGATGAGGGCGAAGAAAGGAGGATGCTTCGCCCCGGCCTCACCTCCGCTCGCCGCGCGGCTGCCGGGGCAGAGCCGCCACTGCCGCCGCCTCCTGCTGCTGCCGCTCGCGGCCGCCGGCAGCG